GTGTGTCTGTGTGTCTGTGTCTGTGTCTGTGTGTCTGTGTCTGTGTCTGTGTGTGTGTGTTTTCAGCTGTCAGTATGGTGGGTCTGAAGCCGTCAGATGTTCCTCCTCCTCTGGGCGTGAAGGTTCTCAGCGCAGGAACAGCCGCCTGCATCGCTGATTTAGTCACCTTCCCTCTGGACACCGCAAAAGTGCGGCTACAGGTACAGACTTCAGCCTGATTACTGAACATCAATACAAATGACCAGAGACTCCAAATATGTTGTATTTGCACGGTTTGCAATTGGTTTGCGGTTTGATAATTGTAAATGTATTGTAAATGTTTTTTTGTTAGTTTGTTTTTTATGAAGAAGAAAAAAAAGATTTAAAATTGTGTTTTCTATTATGAATATGATTGTTTTAAATTCTATAATTATATCTAATATTAAATATGAAATATAATATATTATAAAATATATTAAAATATGATAATATATTAAGTATTTTTGCACCAACAATATATTTATGATCATAATAAAATTATATAAATAATTTGGGTAGTTGTTAGTAATTTTGTTAGGTATTAATATTTCAAAATGTCATTTTTTAACATTTCTGAAGAAGAAAAAATATATAAATTAATATATATTTAAAGTAAGATCTGAATATGAGTGTATTAAATGATATTTAATGTTGTATATTTAAAAAATATATTTTGTAATTTATATATTTAAATATTACAATACACATTATTATATATTTTTCCACAAAGAATATATTTATGATTATAATAAATGTTAATTATATAAATATATATTATATATATGAAATATTATATATTGTAAAATATATTAAAATATGATAATATATATTATGTATTATATATTTCTGCACCAACAATATATTTATGATCATAATAAAATTATATAAATAATCTTGGTAGTTGTTAGGAATTTTGTTAGGTGTTAATATTTCAATTAATGTATATCAAAAGTGCGGCTACAGGTACAGACTTCAGCCTGATTACTGAACATCAATACAAATGACCAGAGACTCCAAATATGTTGTATTTGCACGGTTTGCAATTGGTTTGCGGTTTGATAATTGTAAATGTATTGTAAATGTTTTTTTGTTAGTTTGTTTTTTATGAAGAAGAAAAAAAAGATTTAAAATTGTGTTTTCTATTATGAATATGATTGTTTTAAATTCTATAATTATATCTAATATTAAATATGAAATATAATATATTATAAAATATATTAAAATATGATAATATATTAAGTATTTTTGCACCAACAATATATTTATGATCATAATAAAATTATATAAATAATTTGGGTAGTTGTTAGTAATTTTGTTAGGTATTAATATTTCAAAATGTCATTTTTTAACATTTCTGAAGAAGAAAAAATATATAAATTAATATATATTTAAAGTAAGATCTGAATATGAGTGTATTAAATGATATTTAATGTTGTATATTTAAAAAATATATTTTGTAATTTATATATTTAAATATTACAATACACATTATTATATATTTTTCCACAAAGAATATATTTATGATTATAATAAATGTTATAAAAATTATCTGGGTAATGTTTTGGAATTGTGTTAGTTATTAATATTTCAGATTGAAACTGTATATCTGCTTTTTTAAGATTTCTGAAAAAGAAAAAATGTTATTAATATTAAAAATGTATTTAAAATTATTATAATATATAATCTGTTTCTGAATATAATTTGGTTGTTTTGAATATCATATTATAATACATTATTATATTGTTGGCACCAATAATCTATTTAAATATTGCATATTAATTATTATGTTTTATAATATGATAGATTATATTAATTTCTATTAAATATTTTTGAAATGGGTAATTGTTAGGAATTTTGATAGATATTTTTAAATCTATATCTTGGCAAAAACAAGATTATTATTATATATTTTTTAAAGTAGTATTATAATTTTTTTATTTATTTGATAAGTATTACATACATGTAACTGTGTTATAGCAGTATTATCTCCCATCACAATCTCTCTCTGTTCAGATCCAGGGAGAGAAAGCGGCGACGGGCGCAGCTAAAGGCATCCAGTACAGAGGGGTGTTTGGGACCATCAGCACCATGGTGAGAACAGAGGGGCCGCGCTCACTCTACAACGGCCTGGTCGCCGGTCTTCAGAGACAGATGGCCTTCGCTTCCATACGAATCGGCCTCTACGACAGCGTCAAGAGCTTCTACACGCGCGGCAAAGACAGTGAGTTCAAAATCACCGCTTTCATCAGATAGAACCATGATCTCAGCTGTTTCTCCCAGACCAGAACGAGAATCCTGGGATGAAGGAGAAACATCAGATTCTGGAATGAAAGTGTAGGGGTCTCTTGTTTATGCATTGGTCGTTTTTGCCTTGCAGACCCCAACGTGGGCATCAGGATCCTGGCGGGCTGCACCACCGGAGCGTTGGCCGTGTCCGTGGCTCAGCCCACAGATGTGGTGAAGGTGCGCTTCCAGGCCCAGATGAAGCTGCAGGGGGTGAGCAGACGCTACAGCGGCACAATGCAGGCCTACAGACAGATCTTCCAGCACGAGGGGCTCCGGGGATTGTGGAAAGGTGTGTTTTCTGTTCGTTTCTATTGCACTCTTTTTAAAAAAAAAAAAAGCTTCCAAATGGGGTTTTTTTTCCACAGCAATTCCTTGAACCATTCTGGGCTCCCCAAAGAACCTTTCAGTCAACCGTTCTGAAAAGAACCTGTGAAGAACATTTTAAACAATCTTTTTCCACTATAAAGAATCTTTTGTGGAATGGAAAGATTCCATGGATGTTAAAGGTTCTTCATGGAACCATTAATGCCAATAAAGATTGTTTTTTTTAACAGTGTATGGGATTATTTGACATTGGGTTTTACTGTATCAAAATTTAGTTTGCAATCTTGCTATTATCTTTCTACATATGCAGCTGTCCTGAATGGCAGCATCCAAACTGAAACAGAATAACTATATAAAATATGTTAAAATATATTTAAATTAAAGAAACAATTATATAGAATTATTACACATAAAAATAATAAAATGTAAAATAGAATTATTGTTTTATAGATTACTATTCATATTAATATTTTAAAAAATTATATATATTTTTTTTAAATACTTTCTTGGCTTTCTAAATATATTTATATTGAGGGAAAAAAATAAAATTGTTGTACATGATGTAATATATTTTAGAAAATATATTCTAAATTTGACAAAAAAATAATTCCTTATGATTTAGTGCATATTTTGGCCAATACATTGATTGATTGATTGATTGATGGATGGATGGATTGATTGATTGTCATGTGGGTGGAGGTATATATCATTAGAAGCATGTGTTTTTGTCATGCCAGCTCTGTCTTTGTTTAATCTGCAGCAGCACTGATGACCCTAATGAACGTCTTCGTTATATCTGATGTGTTTTCTGTACAGGAACTCTCCCCAACACACACACACAAACAAACACACACACACACACACAAACAAACACACACACACACAAACACACACACACACACACACACACACACACAGAACTAAGTGTGTCCGACACCGTGTTGATACCAATAAAACTCAGTGTTATTGCTGTAATAAAGTCAAATATAAATATTAAACACTTAAAAGAGAATGAGGAATTTTACCTTTGGCAACTAACTGAAATTATAAAAGTTGAAGTTTTAAAATGACTAAAACTGAGAAAATTTTTTTTTAAAAAGCTAATGAGAAATATTAAAAAAATTAAAAATGACAAGCTCATAACAAAATGACTAAAATGTAAACCAATGACAATTGAAAATAATTAACAGCTAAATCAAAATGTTAATAAATACAATAATAGTATATAAATAACAGTAAAATAACACTGGCACACCGGACACATCATTTACTGTACATAAATTTAAGCACAAACTCTTAGGTGCAGCAGTGAGTTAATTTCAGTAATATTTATTGGTGTTTCTGCCTCCCAGACAATCTTCCGTGTCATTTCGTGTCTGCGTTCGGAGCGACACACACACACAAACACACACACACACACACACACACACACACACAGAACTAAGTGTGTCCGACACCGTGTTGATACCAATAAAACTCAGTGTTATTGCTGTAATAAAGTCAAATATAAATATTAAACACTTAAAAGAGAATGAGGAATTTTACCTTTGGCAACTAACTGAAATTATAAAAGTTGAAGTTTTAAAATGACTAAAACTGAGAAAAAATTTTTTAAAAATTAAAAAAATGAGAAAACTAAAAATGAGAAATATTAAAAAAATTAAAAATGACAAGCTCATAACAAAATGACTAAAATGTAAACCAATGACAATTGGAAATAATTAACAGCTAAATCAAAATGTTAATAAATACAATAATAGTATATAAATAACAGTAAAATAACACTGGCACACCGGACACATCATTTACTGTACATAAATTTAAGCACAAACTCTTAGGTGCAGCAGTGAGTTAATTTCAGTAATATTTATTGGTGTTTCTGCCTCCCAGACAATCTTCCGTGTCATTTCGTGTCTGCGTTCGGAGCGGGTTTCATCACGACAGTGATCGCGTCTCCTGTGGATGTGGTGAAGACACGCTACATGAACTCTCCTCCCGGACAGTACCGCAGCTCCCTCAACTGCGCCTGGACCATGATGACCAAAGAGGGCCCAACCGCCTTCTACAAAGGGTGAGATTTATACTTCATATGAAAGCTGAATAAATAAGCTTTCCATTGATGTATGGTTTGTTAGGATAGGACAATATTTAGCCGAGATACAACTATTTGAAAATCTGGAATCTGAGGGTGCAAAAAAAAAATCTAATCAAAATATTGAGAAAATCACCGTTAAAGTTGTTCAAATGAAGTTCTTAGCAATGCATATTGCTAATCAAAAATTTTTCAAAAAAGTTTTGATATATTTTACGGTAGGAAATTTACAACATATCTTCATGGAACATGATCTTTTATCCTAGTGATTTTTGGCATAGAAGAAAAATCGATAATTTTGACCCATACAATGTATTGTTGGCTATTGCTACAAATATAGCCGTGCTACTTATGACTGCTTTTGTGCTCCAGGGTCACATTTAATGCTGTTAAATGAAGCAAACTCATAATTTGTCACGCCTGAAATGATCTCTAAACGTTCCTGTGTTTCTCCTTCAGGTTCGTTCCGTCTTTCCTGCGGCTGGGCTCCTGGAACGTGGTGATGTTCGTGTCGTTCGAGCAGCTCAAGCGGGCCATGATGATGTCCAGGAGCAGAATCGAGGCCACCACCTAGATCTTCACCTCAGACCGAAATCCTTTCAAACTCACATGAGCGGCTGTTTCAGACTCCTCTGACCGGACGAGAACCGGAGCAGCTTCCAGTTTCACACTTCCGCTTCGGAAGTTCAACAGAACGGGATGCATCAGTGAGAATCTGACAGAAACATCAGAACCGGATCATGACTGTCATCTTTTCTCCTTCACTGTAAAGAACGGCTGCTCATACAACGCACAAATTTAAATGAGAGGATCTTCTGAACCCCCTTGATGTCTTAATGTACATAATGTTTATGTAATATTTATATTTCCTCATTTTTTAAGCAATTAGTGCTTTGTTTAAAGCAGCTATTTACCTTAAAGTCTCTTTAACCCTGAATATCCATCACATAACCCTGGAATGACCTAGAAAGTGAGATTGCCTCATAACTGGAAACTTATAAAGATAAAGATAAGCACACATGCTTCAATAAAACACCTTTATACTACTTTTGGATGTCTTTGTGGTGACTGTGGACTTTGGTTGTGTACTTTGTGAAATGAGCATGATATGCATCTCTCTAATAATAATAATAAAAAAACATTAAGTAAAAGTAAAAAACAAAACAAATTTACTTTAATATTTAAATATTTAAGGTATCATGCATTAATCATTAAAAAACTACAAACCTAATTTTGTGACATGCAGCTTTATAACTTTTAAACAGCATTTTGCTTATGCATGCCGATTTTTATGACTATATTACATTGTGGTAGTTATGTGAAATTTTATTCAAAAACATATGCATCATACAAATCTTTACTGATGCAAATATAAATTTAAGAACAAATTATTCAATATTTAAATGTTTAGGGTGATGCATTAATCACACAGATGTTCTTTAAAAAAAATTAAAACAAAATTTTATAGACCTTGTTTATGTGACATGCAACATTTTAATTTTTAAACAGCATTTTGCTTATGCACGCAGATTTTATGACCATATTAAGTTTTTTATGTGAAATGACATTGATTTTGAAATGCAGGTGCATCTCACTTCAAAAACTCTTTAAATTATCATGATAGAAATGTAAATTTGAGGAAAAAGTTCAAATGATTTCCTTATATTTAAATATTTATGGAACCATGCATTAGACAGGTTACTATGCATGCAGATTTTATGATCATAGTTGTCTAAGAACTACAAGGAATATATATTTTTAAAAATTCACAGAATTAATTAAAATTAAATAGTAAGGGCAAAAAGGTGACAAAATTATTAAAAGTAGTGACCAATTATAAGACGGAAAACATGTGCATGCATTTGGACCTAAAATCTGAAAACATGGAATGCATTAATTTACTTTAATTACCCACTTTAAAAAAAATCCATTATTTTAATAAACTCAAAAATGTAACTTTATTGCCAAACCTCTAACCAAAAGATTCAAACATTGCATTTGAATATTCAGTCACTAATTTTATTCTTCAACATTAGGTACGAATCCAACTCTATAAAATGAATCGGGTCATCGGGAATAAAAAGTTACATCTTCAAAACCAAACAGCGTTTATAAATAAGACAACGACACAGTGTCACATCGACGTTTGTGCATACAAATGCTGTACTTTGGAATTGAGTTGAGGTCTGAATAACAATATTCACAAAACAGATTAGTTATTAAATACTCGTTATAGGCCACATCAAAGAATTGTGCAGACGGTGACGGGTGCGGGGTTTAATACAACTTAAACACACTTTAACATGCAAAGAGGTCGAATCATCTGCATACAGAAGAATAAACAACATCTTTCGAACATAAACGTCATCTTCCTGAGATGAGCAAACATGAGAAGCAGGAGTCACGTGACCACGACCAAAACGCTCAAGTGTGAAGGGAATCCCAATCTGTTCATTGGAGAGTTAAAAACATCACTTTGAAAGTATTATTAATAATGCTTAACAGTGCAAGTCTTTTCCCTGACCAGGTCAATGTAGCTAAACAACCAGCTATGTACTCTTGATGTACAGTTTATACAGTTGTTTAATTATTAATATTCAAATAAAGTTTCATGCACGTTGTACATTTCCCAACTAAAAACTATCATGAAGTCAATGGAAAAAGAAAAGCAAATCAATTGTTGCGGCTTCCTTTTGTCTGTGCAATGATGCTGGAATGCTGGAATCACTTCTCTTGGTCCACGGTCATGATGAGCGTGACCTCAGGCATCTGAAGCTGACCTTTGACCTTGTCGTGGAACTTCTCCCTGTAGCGATTGAACTCCATGATGCTCTCCGGCTCCTCTTCCAACCAGAACTTATCGAACTCATACGCCAGGTAACCTGCCAACAGGAAACAGCGGAAACACATGACAAGAAAAAAAAAAAAGATGACTTTTTACATAAAAAAACGTAAGCCTATTTTGGGAACTTTAATGCAATATTTACTGTAATATGCTGCAAAATAAATAAAGATACAAAAAAAAACATTTGTTTAAATCAGCACAAGTTCAGTATAACAAACACTAGTTTGCTGCCATAAGATACATACTACATACTATAATAAAAATATTTTTTCCAAATTTTATACTTTCAAATATGTTATTATTATATAAACATTAATTTCAATAATAAATAAGAACAAATTAATAATATAATAAAACAATTCATAAAAAATATTTTAATATATTTGATATTTAATACGAATTATTATTAATTAAAAAACGGGGGCAAAAATCTGCACTGTCCTAAAATGTGGCTTTATTTTCCTTAATCAAAATGTGATTTTTATTTATTTATTTCGGAATTGAATATGATCAAACCATGATCTTCACGCCATCTCTGTCAGATTGATGCCCACTATGGCATACGAGTACCTGCAACAACACAAAGCATGCTATGATGAGAGCACTTTTACTAATTTTATCAGTTATGATGCCAAGAATCACTAAACATGACATAAATCAGCGAGCACTCACCCTAGTCTGGGGTGACTGGCGTGTGACAGGACCTGCCGGGCTGCGTCTGTGTAATTCTCACTGAAAAAACTGGCCAAACAGAGAAAAACGTTAACTTAAATGCATCAGGGAAGCAATGAAGCGTCATCTTCTCAGAAGCAGAGAAGCTGCACTTACAGGAGGTTTGTGAGGCCCAGCATCCCCATCCCTCTGAAATCCGTCTTGGGATCGTCGCCCTGGAAACCAATGTTTCCCCACTGCTTAGTGATCCTCGATTCCAGCTTCACTGACGGCATTAACAGATCCCACAACTGACAGAAAACAAACAGAACTGAGAACCTCTGAAGCTCAATCATCTTAAAACGATCCTAAAAATGAGATAAATCACCTTCAGAAGCATGTTCTCATGTTCTTTATTTTCGGAGTCAAACACCTGTTTTCTTACTTCCTCGACCGCCTCGAACAACTCGTTATATGCATTGATTTGTAACAAACACTGACGGAGATTCAGCTTAAACCTGTAAGAGAGATTTCTGCATGTAAAACTGCAGTCGGACCTTGATAATATCCACAACATACACAAAGCTTGAATACATGCTAAAAATAAAACAATAATCAACCTTGAAAATAAAAACTGTGAAGCAATTAGAAAGGTTTCTTGACTAGCAAGTAGAAACAGTAGTAAAAAATGTGTTATGTAAACAAAAACTTTTATTTTGGATTGCATTAACCGTTGCCCAGCACTAATTTATTTACATTTATGCATTTGTCAGATTTAATCAAATAATTAAAATAAATATCTAAAATATTTTTATATTTGTTTTAAAGCATTTTAATATTATTTTTATATATATTTAGGCTTTATTTTAATTAGGGAAAACTGATACTGTTTTTTTTTTTAACTAGATTTCTACATTATTATTTATCTTACAAAAAATCATAATATTATGTTTGGATTTCTTTGATGGGGACTGTTTACATTATGTAATGGCAGGTGTATTTTAATAAGCTGAAACGGGATCTTGTAGCTTCTGAGTTGTTTTTATTTATTTAATTTCTCCCTTGAAATCTTGTTATCCCAAATGAATGGATGTTGCTATTATAATGTGTCATTTTTATTCCATGAAAAACAAAAATATATATTGTTAAAAAATCTAAGAAAAAGATTGTGCAACAAACTGGCACCAGGGGCTAATAGGTCAAAATGATGGTTTCTCTAATCGGAAACATGACCGTTTATGCTATTACATTGAAAATACATATTTATAATACATTAATAAAAAATCACTCAATGTATTTCACTGGGCCTAGTGTGGTGAGAAAGCATAACAACGTGTAAAAAAAAAAAAAAAACCCCGGATCAAATCATGTGACTCGTTGTGAATGTGTCACTGTTGCAGAAAAAGGTTGCAAAATGTTTATTTTCCCAACTGAATGAAGTTAATGCAATCTTAAGAGAGCCTCACGTAGGATCTTTCTGCTCCTTGATTCTCTTCTCTTGGATTATTTGAGCCAGATGCTCATCCAAACCATTCTCCTTCAAAGATAAAGCTGCTCGCAATACCTGATCGAACACAAACACACTTCAGAGTGCAGTAGAGAATGAGGTTGATCCATCAGATCAATTGGTCTGGAGTGAAGAATCTGGTCAATGTTAATGTTTAGCTCAGATAAGAAAGTACTGAAGCAGCCAGAAATCATCGTCACGCTTACCTTGCTTTTAGAGGACTTCAGGGAATACTCTACAAGACAAGCAACCATGAGAGGTTTGCAAAAGTGATGCACGACAATTCAAATGCTGTCTTGAACAATTCAGCCAAAACAAAAAAAAACTGACCACAAATGGGTTAAATGATTCTTTAACTGTTCTCGCATAGGTTCATATATTTATAGATGTAGTCTACGTATGATCCTCACCTATCTGTGCTGTCCTCAGCGCTCCAGCTTTGCAGCGGGCACAAATACGCTGCAGCTCGCATCTTCCTGTGACCAGCCGGAGGAACCATTTCAACCAGAAGCGCAGACATGAGGAATAGAAACACTGCCAGATATACCCCAGCATCCTCTGAAACACAAACAGCATCAGTTAGTTGCAATCCAACTGCACTCTTTCTTTAAAAAATGCATGATTGTACATGCAACAGGGATACAACATGCACAAGACGGGACACTTTCCATGTATTTTCTTCGATGTATACAGCTCATGCAAGCAGTTGACACTGGCTTTAGAGCTACAGACTTTATTCAGTCCAAATGAGCTGTTAAACCCTGCATTGTGTGAAGTCAGCAAGTTCTGCTAGGAACAAGCATTATTAGTCATCTCTAACCAATCAGATATGTGCTGGACTCTGTTTACACTGTCCACCATCATATCAGACCAGCTAGTCAATTAGATGACCAATGCAGCTTAATCATAAACCAAAAGTGGTGCTTTAAGAAAATCAGCTGGACAACACAACAGGTTGTTCGCGCGAGAGACATACTGGACATCAAACCCATAAATCATCAAATAATTCAACTGATAACGCATTTCACGTGCAGCACTAATTATTATTATTATTATAAAACACAGAAGATATCGGGGAATACAGAGGATAGAGAAAAAGAAAATAAAACAATTCACGATTTACTTAAAAATCGTTCTATAACGTCCTCAAAGCTTTTTTACTGGAGGAGATTTTTTTTAAGTGATGACAATAATAGCTACATGTAGATCAGAAGCTAATATTTTGCAGCTGGTTTAAAGTTAAGGTATCTGGGCTTTGTGGATTTGGTATTTACCCATCACAAAGTTTAAGACATCATTATTGTCAGAAATATCAGAATGGAGAAAGAACCTTACTGTTCTACAGAGCTGGTGGAACACAAGAAATAGAGAAGCTGATGTTTGAAGCCAGAATTGTTTAGAATAATAACAGAAATAGAATAAATGTGAAATAGATTCTTCCTCCTCTTGGCAGAAAGAGCAGAGAGGAGAAATATTATGGTTAAATTGACTTAGAATTCATTTATTTTACTTTATTTTTAAGCAAAAGTTTATTTGGCGCAGTCCATACCTTTAAAAAGAGTAATGTTTGGGTAACGTGCTTAGCATTTTGCCTTAGTTTTAATAACAAAATTGTTGCTAGTAACGAGAACATTTCTCAAAAAATAATTAGAACATTTAGGATCCATTTATAAAAAATTGAGTAATTTTCAAACTGAAATTTCACCAAAAAGAGCTGAACATAATTAATTTCATTTACAACGTGTCGCAGAAGCAATTTCCTGTGAATGTGCAAGACTTCCAATTCTTTAGCGGCTAGGGGTAAACCGTACAGTAAATGTTAAAACCATGCTACAAACCAGTTTATGATTACGGTAATAAATTTAAATATGATAAATATGATACCAGTTTGAAACTTTTTGTACAGCTAAAATAACTGGAAGCGACTGACACCGGAAGCCTCGCACGTTCTTGCTTATACTTTAAAAACTAAGGTGGATATTCACTGCAGATTTCCACGGCTTGTCCAGATATTTTAGTCTTAAAAAATGTTTTCATGATATGTCGACGTTTTCCATGCCTGTAGGATCCCAAAGTCCTTCTTGCGGGTTTTTTTCTTCTTCTGTCAAACACACTCAATGTTGTCTTTCACAAACATATGTGACCCTGGAGCACAAAACCAGTCTTAAGTAGCACGGGTATATTTGTAGTAAGAGCCAAAAATACATTGTATGGGTCAAAATTATTTTTCTTTTATGCCAAAAATCATTAGGATATTAAGTAAAGATCATGTTCCATGAAGATATTTTGTAAATTTCCTACCATAAATATATAAAAACTAAATTTTTTGATTAATAATATGCATTGCTAAGAACTTCATTTGTACAACTTTAAAGGCGATTTTCTCAATATTTAGATTTTTTAGCTCCCTCAGATTCCAGATTTTCAAATAGTTGTATCTCGGCCAAATACTGTCCTATCCTAACAAAGCTTAAAATAGTTGTAACTCAGCCAAATACTGTCCTATCCTAACAAAGCTTATTTATTCAGTTTTCAGATGTATAAATCTCAATTTCGAAAAATTGACCCTTATGACTGGTTTTGTGGTCCACGGTCACATATTTAGTTGGATAAAACCACAAAGTCCACAAAGTGCTTTTGAGTTCTGTTCAATTCTATTTTAAAGAGTGAGAAAGCTTCTGTGAACAAAAATACAAGAACAGACCAAAACAAAAAAACAAGGCAATTATTGACCAAAATACTCCATAAATCATAAAATAACAGAAAAGAAACATTCAAAGAAGCAGGGAAATAAATAAACTCACTAATACAGATAAGACAGACCAAAACAAAAAAACAAGGCAATTATTGACCAAAATACTCCATAAATCATAAAATAACAGAAAAGAAACATTCAAAGCAGGGAAATAAATAAACTCACTAATACAGATAAGACCAGTCTCACACTCGGTGAGGTGCAGTGCATTTAGTGACCGTACTCTCAGACAAGAGTAACACAGTGAAACAGTCAAAACTGTTGTTTCTCTGCAGGCGTTTTACTTCTAAATCCATCAGGAGGCACCAGAGAGCTGAAGCGTAATAACGGCAGGTCCAGAGAGCGGTGGCCGTCTTTGCCCATCCTCATGGATGGAGGTGGTGGGGGGAATATGGAGGGGTTCGCATCACCGCTACCATCATTTCCTGTGTTATTGTTGTCATCATCACTGGCAGCGGTTTCCACGACACTGCTAGCGCTTGTTTTCTGGCAGCGAGGAAGGAACGAGCCCCTATAGTATCGATGATACAGAAGAAACGCCACCAACAGCAACAGCACGATGAGCAACGTGATCAGGCTGATGCCGGCGTAAACACCCCTGAGGATTCTGGGAGATGATGTCCAACTACAGTCTAGAAAGTGAGTGGAGACAAAAATGTAATGTCAAGACAGAATTTTCATTTTTGGGTAAACAATCCTTTTAATGTGATATGAGAGCGGTGTCTGAAATCTCCCACACCTGTCAATATAAACCGTTGACAATCAGTCTCTTACCAGGTTCAGCAGACGCCACACAAACGCTGGCTCCCGGCCCATGAGGAACCTCACGGTAACCATGGATACAGTGACAGGAGTACGATCCAAACTGATTCACACACTCAGCGTGAGCGTCACACACCACCATTTGTGTCTCACACTCATTGATGTCTGTTCAAACACACAAACGGGCCTTTCAGAAATGATTCAGATGAACAGGTGTTTTTGGTAAGCTCATGGCTGCATAATATGTCCATCTAAAAGTATTTTAAACAATATGTTTCTAATTATAACGTGCTTTTGACCATATGGAAAAAAAAAAAAGAAGTGTATTTTATATATGTATACACACACACTTTTATTTTATATAAAATAAATATTTTACAAAATATTTTGGAATCTGAAATTGCTATAAAATCAAAGCCCTATGTCTAACCCTATGTCTATGTCAAGTTTATATCACAAAAAAAATGAGGTTGCTTTGAGATCTGGTTTAGGTGCTATACCAAAAATAGCCACTGGGTGACACTCACTCTCAAACTCCACTAAATTTTAAATGCATTTTCCTGTCACAAATTTATCAATTTGTCACAATATTATTTATATCATAAAATAGTCACCAAATATAGAATCTTGAGACTCAGACCTTTCCAATGTTTTGATTATAAAGTATTGTAGTAAATTTCGTAATATGACACTTGACACCGCCCACTAGGAGGAGGAACCCAGTAAAATTTCCATGGTTACGCCAAAAGGCTGACTTCAAAACGGTTTTCACAGGATGAATTTCGAGTGTTTAAGCTTTCGAATGATATCTAATTTAGGATGATTACTAAAATATGCAATGGCG